CTTAGTGTCTTACATTGCTGTGTCCTTACATAGAAAAAATACTATGTCAATAGGCAAGGATTTGCCATTACTCTGTTCTCTGACTTGTTATCCAGCTCCCATCATGGATGTTCAATGTCTGTCTTTGCACTGGGTTCCAAAAATAGCTGTCTTTTCTGACCTGGCCAGTTGGGGACCACTTTCTAGTTAGGATTTGTGCAGAACTTTCTCTGCAGCAAACCTGTGCTTTCTTTTTCCTCTCGCTCTCTGTAGCTGTGCTATACTAGCTGCAGCAACCTTCATCTGTTCACCTCCTGCAGCACCTTCCTACATTGTGCTGGGAAGCTATGAATTGCAAGAAAGCAACAAATACCCCTTCCCCCTTCTTCTTGGGGAGTAGGAAGCTGATGCCTTGGCATTCCTGGCCTCCTACTCACCCAAAAACAGAGAGCTTGGGCCTTTGCAGTGGCCGCTGACAACATACTGGCAGAAAAGATAGTGTGACTGACAAACAGCTGAAATACCCATTTTATTCTCCAGACCTTTATTGCTCTTGAGTCACGTGATCGTTTCTCAAATGTTAAAAACTCTTGGCTTGTGCAGAGGGCAGCCCAAATCTGCAAGGGGACCTTTGTGCTGTGCCCTCAGCTACCTGGCTGTACCTTGATCTTTTGCTGTGAGGATCATCAGCTTTGCAGGTTCCTCCCTGGGTCTCTGTAACCACTTGTGAATCTCTCATCTCGCTGGCCAGAGGCAGCCTTGTGGATGTTGGGCAGACCCACAGCAAGGGGCAGAGGGTGTGGGGGGGCCCCTAGAGAGGTCTCCTGATGCTTCTTTGCAAGGCCTGCCTCTTCTTGCTTCCCTTGCTCCTGCTGCACCTTTCTGACAGTTGAGTTTTGGAGCTTGTAGATTTTCATATCCAGTTAGGTTTTTTTGTGTTACTAGTTAGATCTCAGCCCTGAAGAGCTTCCAGTTGCTGTCAGGTGTGTGCCAGGCAGTCATGACTGTGGTTGCAGTTGCATCTGTGTGTGTGTATGGTCACTGTCATATTCCCCAGCTCTCCCTTCCACATGCGTGCCCCTATCCACACGTACGCTGTCTCTCTTGTGGAGACCTACCGATATCCTTGACAGTCTTTTCTGATCTCTCCCTCTAACCCCCCCCACCCCGTTTTCCTGTCAAGAGTCCCCTTGCCCGCCTTCGGCTGTCACTGGGTGACCAGAGCCAATATGACAAAACAGTGGGTTTTGGCTGATGCTTGATGTCAGCCATGCCCTCACGTGCAGCCTGGCTGCCTCTTGGTCTTCGTGCTTGAAGCGTGGAGAAGAGTCCAGTATGAGTAAGCTTTAAGAGGTGTTCACCTGTGATAGCTCAGTACCTCCCACTGGTTTGGGTCGCGTTGAGCACAAAGTACAGAGTTCAGTCCCCTGTCCAAGAGGAGGTTTGCTGCAGCATTAACTCTTGGCATAGTTATTAAAATGAAGTGGTAGAAGAGTACTGAGAGAGTTCCTGTGACTTTTTCCTTCCTAACTATCTACTGTGAAATGAATCAAGTAGATATTAGGCAGTTTAATTCTGAGTGTAGACGATGGCTTGACTTTCTTTTATCCCCAAACCAAGCTGTGGTAGAGTGCAAGAGAATTGTGGGGCTTTCAGTATGGTTGGGAATAAAGTTGCACTGCACCGCTGAAGCTAGATATCCAACCTTTGAACAAGGCAGTGTCAGCAAAGGCCAAGGGGTTAGGTGGCTGTGGCTACTCTTTAACTTAAGTCGTTTGATATATTTTGAAGGAATCATACTAAATTCTCTGCTTACCACTGATCTGTCAAAATACACCTGATCATTATTTGGGAAAGTAAGAAATGACATAATTTGGTATAGGTATATGCACAAAGCAACCTTGTTACTTGAAATAATGTTTATAGTTGTTCTTTTGAAAAAGAAAAAAAAAAAGGGAAAGGAAAAAATGTAACTTCAAGACACACAGTTGGAAGTGACTGTTTCTTTGATTGAGCACCAGGTCAAAATGGGGTGTTACTATATTTACAGCTTCTGCAAATATGTCTGCACATACCTGAACAATGTATGTCAAGTAGGTGGTAAAGCTTATCTTAACCTTTTAATTTGGCTCCACTCTTTTCCTTTTTCTTCCTATAGATTGCACTAATGCTTTAAAATTTTGACCTCCTGGAATAATGCTTCACAGCATTACCTAGCATTCAAACCAGCCAAGATCATCTCGTTGGGATGAATTTTCTTTAGGGTGCTGCTTGCCTGGAGGTGCCTTTTGTTTCATTCTTCAGTTCCGAATACCTCATTTCATTCTGTCCTAGCACTGATCATCTGCTATAAGGATGTCACTGAGACAGGGATGAGGAGCTTGATAGTGCGTGAGTATATGACTCTTGGACAAGGCTATGAGGTCAGAAAAATGATCTTGATCCCAATCACATTCACATCAATAGACACTGGTTTACCTTTAGCACTGTAAGTGGAGAGAGATGGTTGTAGGTGACAGCTAAATGAAATCAGAGAACTTCACCAGTTCATTGACTTCCAAAAAGTGGAGGGCAGAACTTCTATGCAGAGATACTGATTTACATCTGCAGGAGTGCTTTTTAAACATAAGCCTTACCTTCTGAATTTCCACGCGTTGGAGCTTTTTCTCATAATAATACTGCAATATTGTTACACCTTTTTTTTTTTTTTTTTTAAAAACAGATTTGCAGATACAGCAGATCAGAGTTGTGTCTTGTAATGTCTGAGCTGAAGTTTGGCTTGGGCAGTACATAACTGTGAAGATTTTGTATGGATACTTCTGTGCTAAATATAAAACTGCTGGGTTGCTTGTGGCTGAAAACTGGATGTGATGGTTTCAGTGATACCTTCCTGAGTTCCTATAACTAGTTTCTAATCTGGCATTTGTGTCTTAATGTTTTTCAACCAGGCAATGCCTAACATTGTGTATAGCATTCTTCCATTTTTCTCTCTCAGCTGCACGCCAGTCTTTTAGTGACCCTTTCTAACAGTCTTCCTTTGTGCCAGCCTGTACCGTAGGGATGTGGAGATAGTAACAGGAAGGAGAGGATAGAGAAGATAAAACATCTACTCATTTTCTTCCACTTTCCCTTGGCGCAACCTGCACGCTGAATGCATAACCCCTTTCTGTGGCAGCGTTGGGCTCCCTCTGTGCAGGGAGTATCTTTAATGCCGTGTGTAGTATGGGGCTGGTGCAGAGCAGGCGCCACGTGGACCTGTCCTGGCTTCATGCTGGCTGTGGCCTGTGTGCTGCGCTCAGGCAAAGCATCCCGAGAGCGCCGCTCGGGCGGCTGCCATGTGCTGTTTTCCTCCTGCAGCCATTGCCCGTGTTTCACAAGCTCCTGCCTTTGTAACTGCACCCACTGCACCCTCCTGAGTCAGGATTGTCGCTTTGTGTTTGTTGAAGCGCCTTATGAGCCAAAATTCGCTGCTGTTAAAAATTCAGCAGTAGGGCCAGTTCTGCCAATGTCGGTGATATCAGTCGTTAGCATCTGAAGAGATGACGATTATTTTGTTTTCGATATGCAAATACCGCTAACTGCCAGAAGCAGGATATGGGACAGTGTGGTCCAGAGGCCTGTCCTGCATTGCGAACCCCACATCTATGCCTGCCATCTCTTCTCCCAACTATGTTATTTCTGTTTTACTGGTGTCACACGTCCATTAGCACGTTGCAACCGTGTTGCTATGATTGGGAAGGAAGAGCAAGAAATAATTGTATGGAAAGGAAAAAGTCTGCTGACAGCTGTGGTCCTCAAGTGTAAACTCTGGGAATAACATTGCGATAAGAGAAGATAAAAAGTCATCATGCAAATATTTTGGGGTTTCTTTATTGTACTTTCTGGGTGCAAATTCAAACTGATACTTCTTCAAATATGGCAAGGAAGGCAATGCAAAAAGTTGTAAAAATGTCACACCTTCATATTTATCATGCGTTGGAGTGACCAAAATAAAGTGAAATAACTTGCTGTGGGAGTAAACACAGCTGCCTTTTTTTTTTTTTTGCATAGCTAAAAGAAATAAGTGGGGAAACACAAAGAATCCCTTTATAATGAATAGTTTAGAACAAGGTTAGTAACAATTTGCCATTAATTCAGTGCATTGACAGATTGTTCTCTGTGGCGTTCGGAGGTCCTGGGTCTGAACGGAGCCTTTGTTTCGGGTGAAGTTTTCATCATTGAGAAGGTTTATGTTTCAGAGGGCTGTGTTCACGAGCTGCTCGTGTAATTTCGGTTAATTTAATTGAAAACCATGCCGTTCCTTTTTGTTGTACACAAATGTAGGTGTTTCAGTATAGTTACCTGGCTGCTCATTCATGCACAGGCATAACTTCAGGAGCTTGTGGAAATACATCCGTTTAAACATATTTTTATTTTCCCCCCCACCTTGCACACAGACTTAGCATTTGAGCCAAATAGCTAAAAATCCTCAGGGGTTTAAAGGATTAAATGGGAACAATTGTTAAGGTGCAGCAAGGGCTGAAAAGTCCTGAAAATGTGACAGGAGGTAGATGCTGAAGGACCTGCTTCATGAACTACAGCCTCCCCTGTTATGGCTATAAATATAACTGAGTGGCGGACTGGTGGGTTGGTAGGGATTTTATAGCTTAAAAAAAAAAAAAAAAAGGAAATCTGGTGATGGCTGAAGGTTTGCTGCTGGGGGGTTTGGTGAAGCCGGTGGGAAGGGTCACAAATTTGCTTTCCCTGTCAGATCACAAGGTCAGTAGTAGTTTTCATTCCCCTTTCGCTGGACTCTTGTTCCCACTGGTTCCTGTAAGTAACCCATTCTTCACATTTTTCTGCTTGTCTCAGGTACTGAAAGGTTCAGGTCGGAGGTTTTCCTGTGCTCTCCATAGCCGCTGCCTGGTGCTGGCCTGAGGAGAAGCGGCGGGAAGGCGGGCACTGCCCCTCAGCCCCTCAGCTGCGGAGCGCCAGGGTGAGGCTCCTCACGAGGCCTGCTGTGCCTCCCTGCACCGGCTGCCATGGAGACCCTGTCCCAGGACTCTCTGCTGGAGTGCCAGATTTGCTTTAACTACTACAGTCCCCGCCGGCGGCCCAAGCTGCTGGACTGCAAGCACACCTGCTGCTCGGTGTGCCTGCAGCAGATGAGGACCAGCCAGAAGGACCTGCGGTGTCCCTGGTGCCGTGGGATCACCAAGCTGCCGCCGGGGTACTCTGTATCGCAGCTTCCCGATGATCCCGAGGTGATCGCCGTCATTGCAATCCCCCACACCTCGGAGCACACCCCCGTCTTCATCAAACTCCCCAGCAATGGGTGCTACATGCTGCCCTTGCCACTCTCCAAGGCGAGGGCGCTACTGCTGGGAG